ATAAATTAATAAAAAAAGAAAAAAAAAAGAAAAGTAGAGAAAAAAGTATTACGTTAAATATTCGGTCGACGTATTGCAAGCCGTCCCTGAGAAATACGAAGTCTACGAAGTTGGCAATATACAAGGGTGGAAACGTCTCGTCGCGTTCTTCTCGTAGACGAGGGATGCAGCTATGTGAAAAATAGTACGACGTTCCTCTGTGCAAGGATACATTATTTTTCATTTATACGTTGCATCTATATTTAAAATTTCAAGTCTTTCAATACAAACAAACAAACAAGTAAATAAATAAATAAATATATATATATAATTTACATAAATATAATAAAATCGTTAAGTCGAGTAAAATAAGGTACACGAATTGAGCCAAATTATGCATCAACTTCAAACGTACGAACAAAATTGATCATACGCATCTTTACTTCTCCAAACAATTAAATATTAACACTAATAAAACAACTCCTTACATTTGTATAATACAATATTTAATATCACTAAAATCATAGTTCAATTTTAAATGTATACATTGAAAAGAATTTCTAATAATATCAATTATATTGTTCATTATATTAAACGAATCAATACAAAATATTATAAAACATTAACGAGACGAGAAAAATAATATATAAATCAAATATAACAAACAAAACACTGAACATACACAAATATTGTTTTGTAAATTAAAATAATTGACATTAAAATTTATTCAATTCCATATAATTGAGTCTTGACACAAATTTGCTTCAAATCATCCCAAACAGAAGTTATTCGAGGTGGAGAAAAAAAAAAGGATAGAAAAAAAAAGAAGAAGCAAAAAGAAAGAAAGAAAGAAAAAAAAAATGGAAAGAAGAAGAAAAAAATAAGAAGCGTGTAATAAGGAAAGCAAGCGAAGGATCCGAGAACAAACAGAACGGTGGCTATTCTTTACTGGCTTCTGGTTGTGCTTATCCTTGTGATATAGCGATCCCTTTTTCTCCGACCGTAAGGAAGGAATTTTTATCGTGAAATAATGGCCATGGGCACGGCAGCCCTTTTACAAGCTCGAATAGGAAAGCAAGGCAAGGCAAGTCAAGTCAAGTCAAGGTAAAGCAAGGCAAGGCAAAGCAAGGTAAAGCAAAGCAAGAGAGGAAGCATGAGGAAGGTAAACCAAAAAGCAAACTGACGATGTGCGTTCTTGGCATGTTTTCTATGCTCTTGGTAGTCTTATGCGTTGATATTAGTAATTATATTTGTAATAGTATTAGTGAAGAAGAAGAAGAAGAAGAAGAAGAAGATAATATGTGTGTTAGTAATATTAATTATAGCAATGGTAAAAGTAGCAATAGTAATAACGAAAAAATCAGAATACAATGTGTTGGAGAAAATAAATTATTATGAAATTTTATTGATATATTTAATAAATAAATAATAAATAACAAAATAAATGTAAAAGTAATCGTAATAATAAAATAAGAAGAAGAGAGATGATATTTGTATATTAATAATAATAATTACAATACTAGCAACAGTTGCAGTATTAGTAATGATAGAATTATAAGAAGACGGTACATGTATTAGTAATAAAAGTTGTAATAGTAGAAGTAGAAGAAGAAGAAGAAGAAGAAGAAGAAGATGGTGTAGGGTGTAGGGTGTAGAGTACAGGAAAAGGGATCTATCTTTCCCGGATAGTCCGGATAGTAGGTAGGTGCTCTTTCTCTGTATCGCAAGGGATGAGCAGGACAGCACAGCAACAGAGATACGGCAAAACACAAGATACTGAGAAGAGGAGGAGAAGGTTAGAGATGAGGGAAAGAAAGAGAGAGAGGTAGAGAGAGAGAGAAGGAGAAGGAGAAGAAAGAAGAGATGGAGGAGGTGGAGGAGGTGAGAGAGAGAGAGTACTGGCGAGGTAGCGACGTCACCACGGAAATCAAGAGTAATGCCAACACGAAACTGCACTACCCCTCGCGCGCACCCTTGCCGACATCCCTCTTTCTCTCTCTCTCTCTCTCTCTCTCTCTCCTTTTCTACCTCTTTCTATCTCTCTGTAGCTATCTATCTAACCATCTCTCTCTATCTTTCACGCATCCCCTTTATCTCTATCTCTCTTCTTCTTCTACTTCACTCTTCTCTTTCACTCCCACTCTATTCTCTCTCTCTCTCTCTCTCTCTCTCTTTGTTACATTCTCTCTCCTTCCCGTTCCTGTCTTTCCTTCTGCCCTTCCACCTCCTTCCCCCGTCTCACCTTCCGATCTCACCTACCCCCAGGGAATAACTCCCTTGCCTCCCGTGTTATATAGACCGGTACCGTTGGTCCGCAGGAAGCACAGCATGAGAAAAGAGAAACAGAGGGAGAGAGAGAAAGAGAGAGAGAGAGAAAGAGAGAGAGAGAGAGAATAAGTGAGTAAGTGAGTGAGCGAGAACACGAATCTACTATAGGGTTCCTGTCTGATACGAGGGTGAACCTCAACGATTCTCTCATGCTTTCGCTTTTTTCCACCCCAACCCCCCTGCCACCCCACCCCTCGTCCATAACCACCCACCTTCACCCACCCTTCTCTCGACCACGCTCGACTGACTACACCTCAATTCAACCTGAACTCTTCTTTCGGCTGATTTCTTCTTCTTCTTCTTCTTCTTCTTTCTTTTTTACTTTTTCTTTTTTCTACGTGAAAGCTTTTAGATTTTGCTTTTTTTGTTCATCCATGGATTTCCTTTTCACCCGTTTTCCCGTATGATTTTTCGTTTAATATATATATATATATTATATTTGAAAGATTTCTTTTGATTAATAATACAAGCGATTTTCGTTGGATTTTCGATAAAAATTGTGAATACGTGTAAGATTTCGTTTGGAAAATATTATTTGTAAGTCGGTAGTGTGTGCGAACATTTGCGTTTCTCGAGAAACGAACCTTCTTTCTTTTCCTCTTCCTCCTCCTCCTCCTCCTCCTTCTCCTCTTCCTTCTCCTCCTACGAGATTTCAATTTCTAATTAAAGAAAGAGAGCACCACGGGTTAAGTAGAAAGCGAAATACCCTCAAGTACCTTTGTAATTCGATTACGTGCCACGTTTCTTTTCCTTTTCTTTCTTTCTTCTTTTTGTTTCTTTTTTATTCATTTTATTATTTCTTTTACTCGCCATTTTCTCACCCCCTGCCCTGAAAAACCCCCTTTCTTCCAGTTTCACACTAATTGAAGATAGTTGGTCGATTAATTTGATTAATCGTTTTAATCTAGATAAGAGTTTAGATATATCGAAAAATTTTTTTTTACTTTGTTGACTATTTCTTTAATTCTTTTGTTTTTTTTTTTTTCTCTCTTCGTTCGAATAAACATTGATTAGGTTAATAGTGAAACGTTAGATTAAAGAAATAGAAGAAGTATTTCGATTTGGTCGTAAAGGATAAATGAAAGAATAAGAGAGAAGGAGAAAAGTGGACCAATTTTTTTTGTTCCCCTCAAATCCTTCGTTTGGAAAATGTGCCCATTCGTATGATCGGTCTATATTCTTCTAGACCCTTGCCGTAGGATCTTCGAGAGAAAAAGTGTAGGTCCTTTAATATACACTATATCTTCGTACGCGAGCCTAGGGATTTCCTCTTTTGGTCTTCCATCTTTACCCAAGATACAAGACAGTTTTTTTTTAAATCCGTCACATTCTGTCTATGCACAAATCACGATGCTATTATTATACATTTTCTTAAATCACTAAACAAGCTATATGTTTATTCGAAGAAAACGTATAAAGGATTATTTGTATAAAATCAAACAGTACATAGACATCATTTTAAACTATGTTATCATATACATATATATATTTTGTTTTTTAATTATCATTAATATTCCAAACGAGAGTAATAATTTATACAAACATTTTCTAGACAATAATCTTTATCTCGTATATGATCAAGTGTTTTTTTTTTTTTAAATATCTATATATGTATACGTACTCGATAGATGCGTACAATAAAAACAAAAATGCTATTAAATAGGTATTCTCGCTAAAGCAAACATTTAAAATTGTAATAACATTTTAAAAGAAGAAAAAAAAAAAAGGAAAAAAGAAGAAACATTTGATTTCTGATAAAAAAAAAAAAAACCGACCAATAAAAAATAATATATTGAATATTTTAATAAATATTTTCTCATCAATTTTCTCGTTCGTGAATATGCGAATTAATTTTATAACGAACATTTTTCAAATACTTTTCATTCGAACGTAACGTAATTGTTAATATTCGAAAAACATTTAAAATACATCGAAAACGATCTGTCTTTTAGCTATAAAACAAGTTGTATGTTATGGTTGAAACGAATTCGCCCTTGGGACTCGATCGAGAACACATGCAGAGACACCACACTAACTGATCTCTCTTTCTCTCTCTCTCTCTCTCTCACTCTCTCTCTCTCTCTCTATTTCTCTCTCGTCTATTTGATATTGTAACAGATTAAATTAACTCCGGCAAATTAATTGGTAGTTAGGATGTTTAGCGTTAAGTGAGAGTGCACGGTTTCTCCTCCTATTATCTCTCTCTCTCTCTCTCTCTCTCTCTCTCTCTCTCTCTCTCCTCTTTCGTGAAAGTAACTCTTTTCATTTCTCTCTCCTTTTACTTTCACCCCTATTTCTTTTCACTTTGTTGCTTTCATTTTCGAATTTTTTTTTTCTTATTTTTTTTCTCATCACCCGTTCGATATTTTCTAAGGAAACGTTACGTCGACAATAAAAAAAAAAAAAGATCCAAAGAGGTTTCGTCATTTACGTAATTTTTATTTATTATAATATAATCCGTTTGAAAAAAAAATATATATATATAATAATTGTTTTTCGTAATTTTTTTCCATTTCTTTTGTTTTTTTTTCTTTTATTTTAACATAACATCATAAGAATTGTAGATTATTATATGCATTATATATTAATAAAAAAAAAAAAACTATATAGATATAAATAGTATACATTAAAATCTTGGCATAGTCAAGAATTATATATAATAGATATTAGAAATAAATCGTTGAAATAACGAATTATTTGGAAACCCATATATTTCCAATGGATCAAGCCGATATTCTGTGTAATTGTTGTTTGAAAATAATTATTTCAATAATATCTTCGCGCTATTGTATAGATGTCGTCCTTTTATTAGGCTTTCCTCTTCGAGGTCAATTCAATCGGCAAGCGAACTCATTGATAAATCCCCAAGACAAGCAGCTCCCTTTTTTACCGACTGACCGTAAGAAATAACTTACGATCGATAAATATATTTTCCCATTTCGTCAATCGATTTCCTTCCTTGTTCCAATTAGATAAAGAGAATGAAATCTTCATATGTCGCAAATGAATCATATAAATTCACGCGACTATACGTGACGAATTCATAAATATCATGTAAAAAGAATGAATTCATTCGATAAGAACTTTTGTTCTTATATCATTGTCATGAATTTAAATTCTGCAAATACAAATTATTTTCAGCCAATTCCGCTCTTATTAAAGATGCCAACCTTTCCATGGCCTGCAAAAAAAAATTAAACCATTTTTTTGTTATTAATTAAACGTAAAAATATTGAATACAATTGATCATCCAAATGTGATCAGATAAAATTATTAAAATATAAATTATCATTTTTTGTTCTAATTTATCAACATATCGTAAGAAAAAAAGGGTTTTTGTTTAAGATTATCATCTAATGGTAACAGATACAATTTACGCGAACATATATATTTATCATCGACAAATAATACAGTAAACGAACGTACCAAGTTCATTTCTTCGTAAGAAGCTTTGGAAAAAGATGCTCGTATGGCATTACAAGGCGCGGTTGGATCTATTGTGAAAGATGCACCAGGTGCCATGATAACTCCTTCAGCAATACCTCGTTGCATTAACATTTGCCATGTATCATTGATACCACTTACTTTAATCCATAAAAAAAATCCACTGCTTGGTATGGTAAAGTCAGCTAATCCTAAAAAAGAAAGTCCAGAAAATTAATAAACGAAGGATAAGATATTTAAATGTCAATACCCAATTATATTTCCATTATTCATATGATCTCTAATAAAATAAAGTTTTATGATAAAATTAAATTATTTGAAAAATAAGCAAAACTAGGAAGATTTTTAAGTAATTCAATTTATATAATATTTAAACTATTATTTTGATTTATTAATTAAAAATAAATGATGATCACCATTCAAATGTTTTCTAGCCAAAGACACTATCACATCTCTGCGTTCCTTGTAGAAATGTCTGATACGTTTCATATGACTCATCAAACCATCGAATCCCCATATCTTGAAAAGTTTGTATAGTATGACCTGAAAGGAACAAATAGAAATAATATCAGTATCGTTTTTATAATTTTTCAAAAGTTTCACGATAACCTTTTGATAACGTTTTAAACCGTGATAATACCCGACACGCGCCACCATCTCTCTCCACCAACAATATTTTAATATTCGAACTTGATAATTATACGAAGGCATGCAAAGATTTACGATATGTCACGGGTGTGTTTCATCATCGAAAATATTAAGTGAATAATATTTACATATTAGCGTATGCGTTTAGTTGATCAGACATTTTTTTTTTTTTTTTTTTTTTTTTTTTTTTTTTTTTTTTTTTTTTTTTAATAAAAATCTCACACATTCATATCATATTTTTTAATATCAAAAAATTAATTCCCCATCAATTTATTTCACTTGAAATACGAGAAATATACACATAAGTCACAATATTTCGAAATATTTTTAATATGTACCCACGCTAAGATATCATCAATTTATTCCGATTCTTAATTTACTCTAATTGGAAGCGTAATTTAAATTGCCGAAAAAAAAAAATAAATAATAAAAAGACATTATCTATACGATAATAATTAAATGTTTCGATTATTGAAAAATATTTCCTTGAATTATATCCCCCACATCTTAGGATAATAGGAAAAATATTAGAAATAAAGTATATATCTACCAACCTGTGATAAGGAAGGTGCATGCAGGTGACTGCTTTGCAAGTGAAGTTCAATACTAGCTAAAAGTGGCGCTGGGGCAGTGATAAAACCAATTCTCATGCCACTGCTAATAACTTTAGAAAAGGAATCCACTCTGATAACACGTCCTTCCGTATCAAGCGATAAAAATGATGGGGGTATTTCCTGTAATCGATTACACACATATAAATAATTTTTTTTTTTTCCTCTTTTTTTTAAATATCCTATTCAAATGATTTTATTTATACTTACATCATTATAACTTAGGAAGCAGTAAGGATCATCGTCAAGAATAAGAAAATCGTATTCGCATGCCAACCTGTAGATTTCTTTTCTTCTCTCAAATGGTATAATTACACCTGTCGGATTAGCACCTGTCGCGTTGACGTACATTATTTTTGGCATTTTTTTCCCAGAAATTTGTCTCTCTCTTAAAATTTCTTCCATTACTTCCGGTATTATACCAAAATCATCTTGAGGAATCGATATAAACTCTGCTTGATGTGGCATCACCTTTTTAATTATTAAATAACCATTAATCACATTCAAACACATATGTAATATAATTAAACAAATTCATTATCATATATAGCACGATAAAGAAAAAAAGAAATATTTGCATATACAAAAAATGTTCAATTTTTATTGTTCATTTTAATCAAATACTCTTGATATTTATGGAACGTTTATTAAAAAAAAAAAAATTCATTTTTCAATTTATTATTTATTTTTTAATTCAAAAATTTGTATAGATATATATAGATATTTTTTTTTACATATACCAATCATTGATTTCTATAACAGAAACGCCATAAATTTTTATTAAAAAGTTAGACTTCGTAATAGACTAGAATTAGATTAGAATTGGTTATTATTAAATATATATATGGAAATAGTAATATTTCAAAATTCTTATATTTCCAACATATCAAGAAAAATGACATAGTGTAAAAAATGAGTGATAAATTGCGTCACGTACGATCGCCGATTAATCTATGTAAAACATGAAAAAAATTCGAATGGACTTGTGTGTTTATGGATAAATTAATTGCCGATAAGAAAATGGAAAATGTAATATTATCACGGCACGCGCACGATCAAAAGAAGCAAGCAGCATCTGTTGTGCGAGAGACATATGTAGAATATATATATATATATTATATTATATATATATTGTATGTATATATATATATATATATATAGGTCATGCATATATGTATTAAAGTTAACTTTTTCGTTAATCACAGGTCACGCGTTTGATCCTCACATTTTATTTCTCTCTTTTTTATTTTATTTCAATTTTTTAAAATTATTTATAACACACAAGCGCACACACACACACATATACACATGCAGACATTTTTTTGTCTCTTCATTTTTTGTATATGAAACATTTGATTTTGCATGAATCTTTTTGAATGGATATTTTTCAATTAATTTCATAAAAGAAAATTAAACGATAGGAAATGTAAAAAAAGAGAAAAGAAAATTGAGAAAGTAGTATAAATAATAATATGACGAATTAAATGATTGATACTAACCACGACTTCGACTCCAGGATAAAAAGGATCATGAACGAGAATCGGATCACCGATATCGATGATAGATTCCAATGTCTTACTTAAACCATCCTGAGCACCAGCGACGATTACTATGTCGCGACTTTCCCATAGGGGTGGTACGTGCACCCTCCTTTGGAATTCCCTCAGGGTCTAAAATCAATTTAACGTCGAACGTCGTTAGACACGCGCTTTAGCCAATCGTATTATTTCAAAGAAAGAAGAAATTTGTGTGTAACGACTCGGTGGATTACATCAGCGACAATCTCGTCGTACTGAGAGATGAAGAAGCTTTTAGTTATAGCTCGAAATAATTCGATTCGCTTCCATAAATATAAACTAATTTCTCATCTCTTTGCAATCCCCCATCTTTGTTTATTTATTTATTTTTTAAATATATAATATGTTCATTTTGTGTATGAAATCAATTAAACGTTTGTTAATATCATATTATATTTATGGATCATTTTTTTGGTCTACACACACACACACACACACAATATTGGATATAATATAATTTATAATATAAATATTAGTATAATATTTATATTACTCTAATTTTTATATATTTATAATTTTATATATAATTATTTTAAATATGTAATATATTTTATATAATATAATGTAAT